ATTTACACATACAATATAGGATTTCACCATTTGCCCTCCCCTCATGACCCTCAGGAGAGCCCCAGTGAAGCCTCCTTCTCCTCCTCGCCTGATCCATGAAACTGCCTGCCGCTTTGCTGGGAGGAGGTAGAACAAAGGGAGCTATGAACCATAAGGAAAACTGCACCTCCGCTCCCCATTCCGGCATGTCCCCAAAGCCCCCCCCCCCCAGGGGAGCAGGAGGGCTCCCCCACCGACCACCAGCCCCCCCCAGCCAGCCCTACCTCACCAGCAGGCATCCAAGTCACTCCCTCATCCTTCCCTCAACCCCCACCACTGTTAAGAGATTTAAAATGTTGGCCTCAGTTCCAATCACCACTCGCCCATTGGCCCTTGCCACCAGCTGATTCAGTTCAGGGGACAGAGGGAGATGAGAAAGAGGTCAGAGATACACCCATGACAATCACATGACCTGGGCTGAACGCAGCAGCACAGCAGCACAGCAGTGCTGAAGCGGCCACAAATTTCCCAAATTTCAATCCCACAGGAGTAATGGGTCCTGAATTTTGGATGCATTCTGTAAGTTAGCCCATTTGAGGTATTGTGGTTCAAAAATTGTTGCCCTATGATGCACCATTTCACCCAGTTGAAGGTTACAGACATGAGAGTTGTAGTAGTATATAGATGATCTAGATTTTATGCTCCTTTTAATGTATCCCAAGATCGCAATGCAACATAGCCAACTCATGTTTAACTTGTGGCTCACAAGGACACCCAGATCTTTTCTACAAGGCAGGTCTCTCCCATTCATAAATTTGGATCATTGCCTGTAAACGTTAACCTGACACCTTCACTCTGCCAAGAGACTTAAACCAATTATGTAACATGTAGGGTAAGGTTTGATCAAAAGTGAATACCAGGCTTGCCATCCCTGAGCCCTTATTCTGAGTGCTGAGGACTGAACTGGATTTCTCGTTGTGTTGGTAGGATCATCACAGAAGTATATCTGTCTGTTAGCATAGGAGTGAACAAAGATCACATTTTGTGGCTGGCTACACTAAAGCTGAGAGCTGGGAAGGGAACAAACTCAACTATCTTTGCTTTGGCACCTCAGAAAGGCAGACAGATCAATAGGAATAGGATCTCTCTGGCCAGCTGTTCATGTAAACTTGAAAGAGCCCTTCGCACCAGCCTAACCCCACCCCACCCCCCAGCTTTCTCTACAGATGGAAGTAGATAGTCTGCAAGTTCTGCAGAAATAGGACAAAAAACTCTTAGATCTGCAAAGCACAATTTCTGGCCAACAAGAGGCTTTCTGATCTGACCAGCAAATCAGCCTCAATGGAGTGATTCAATTGAAGCTTTGTTAAATTGAAGCAACCCTTTGAAGTTTGCCCAGCCCCAAGACAAAATTCTTTGCCCTCTCGGTTGACTGTTGGGGTGGCTTGTCCCTGGCGCCCTGAATGAGCTATCCAGGTGATGTCTGGGACAGAGCAAGGCACCTTTGGGGGCGGGTCTCCAGTGCTCGGTCAATCAGGACTGACCTAAAAGAATGTCTTCTCCCCCACCTTTGTACCAGAGGAATTCAGGCTGCCCTCCTTTGCCAATAAACCAAGGGCTCCTGGGTCAGTGTCTGGAGGCAGCACCAATCCAACCCCCACCACCACCTGTTTCCACAGCCCCTCCTGGGCCCAGAGAGCTGGTTGCCCTCCACAAGAGAGCCGTGTGTTTGTGCCACTAGGAGCCACAAGGGGAAAAGCAGCCAGCAGGAAAGATCTTATAAGCAGCGCTCAAGGCAGCCAGTGCCCACACGGGCCACCGACAAGCTCTCTGGTGCCCAGCCCAGCTCTTCTGCCTGGCCTGCTTTGCACTTGCCTCTCTTTTGGAAGGGTGGTGACATTGGGGGGGGTTACCCCCTGTGACACCACAGCCCAGGGCAGGGCCAAGCATGTCATCCAAGGATTTAGGCATTTCCTGGCCTGGGACGGCTACTTGCCAGATGGACCGGACGATGCGGAATTGGAGGAAGCAATGGCCGCCTGAGGTGAGGGCCTCCCCATCCTCAGATGCCCGTGGCCTGAGCCTGCTCGGTCCAGGCATCCTTTGGGATTTGCAAGGAAAAGATCCAGCTGGGAAAGGGCTGGTGGGAACAAATCCGAAACAGCCTTTTTGAAGGAAGCCATGCAGTTCCGCAAAGTTTGCCTCTGCACTGCCCTGCAGGCGGGCTTTGCCATGTTGCCCTCAGAAGTGATGCAGGACATGGAGAGAAGGTTGGACGGTCATCCTGGGGGCTGCCTTTCAGGGGGCTCATAGTTTGTGGTTACTGTGAACTGGGGCCTCCCACAGGGCCAATTTGGGGCCTTTACACTCTAGATTATTAAACAAGGCTACGTGTTCTGGAAATACAAAATGAGAATGTCACTAATAACCAATCAAACAATTTGTTACCTGTGTTGTAAGATGAATGGCGCAAAGGCAATCAAGGAATAACACTTGACTTATTGGGGAGACAGCCGGTTCGGTGCAATGGTGAAAGTACCAGCCCAGAAACCAGGAGGCGGTGAGCTCTCGTCCCGTCTGAGATACAAAGCCAGCCAGGTGACCTTGGGCCAGTCCCTCTCTCTCAGCCCCAGGAAGGAGGCAATGGCAAGCCATGTCCAACAAACCCGGCCAAGAAAACTTCAGGGACTTGTCCAGGCAGTCGCCGGGAGTCAACACTGACTCAAAGGCACAAAAAAAAACCAATCATGGGGAAGATATCATAAACAATATTTAAAGGTAAGATACAAAGGAAATTCCTTTGCTTTGTACAGATGTCTGGTCCTTGAAGGTCAGCGTTAGAGGGATCATCCAGAGCTGAAAGGGAAGGAAAACTGTGTCCTTTGGCCAGACCAGTTCAGCTGCTCCTGAAGCTGGTTCCCGTGGATCTGGGGATTCAGACAAGCTCCAAGGTGAGTAGGGGTATATGCTGCACCTTTGCTGGATTCTGGGTCCAGCTGCCCCGGCAAAGCTCTTGGCTCTTCCAGGCTGTGAAACCAACTCAGCCTGGTTGCTTCAGGGACCTGGAAGGCTGGCTTCCAAAGCCTATGAAGGCCCCATCCCAGAGGGCTTTGGCTCCACTCCTGGAGGGGCTGGCAACCGCCAAGTCCAGGAGGACCGCCCTGGCTAGGTAGGGCAGGGGGTCTGGCTTCACAGAAGCCAATGCGGTTCCTCTGTGGGATAAGCAACGCGGCCGAGGAAGGGGGAAGCTCGGGGCTGGCTGTGACATCAGCTATCAACAGAGATGAAAGGAAGAGCCGTGGGCAGCTCCAGCTCAAGCCAGAGGGGTGGGGGGGAGTGAGGTGTGGTGGGGTGGCCCTTTTTATTTCGTGAGAGAGATTTCCGCCCTGAGGCAAAAGTCTTGCTGCTCCAGGTAGCCCTATCTTGGGGAAAGGGGGAGCAGAGAGATCAGAAAGAGACTGCGCAGTGAAAAGGGTGGGGCCGGGGCCTGGCTTGGCTTGGCTTTTCACTTGGCTGGGACCAAAGAGGGGCCAATGGTGGACGGCTAGCCTAGTTTCCACCTCCTCTGCGTTAACACAAAGGCTCCAAGGAAGGGCGGGTGAGTCACTGAAAGCGCAAGGCCCATTGCCCTGACCAGCCAAGGGAGACTTGATGCCTCGGGCAAACTCACCTGATGCCGACACGCCTTGCTCCATCTGCCCTTGTTTTGCCAAGGCCCAGCAGGCAGCGATGCGAATGGGAAGAGCTGACGGGGAAGGGCACCTGGCTCCTCAGAGGGATCATTTTGCTTCCCTGTTGCTACTGCAGGGCAACTGCTCCAAAATGGGGCAGCTTCCCCAACTAGAGCTGCCTGCGGGACGCGTCTGAGCCACGCAGCCGTCTGTCTGACTGCAGGGGGGACTGTTTGCTCATTCGCCTCGTGGCCTGACCACTGGTGCCAACTTGGGGTTATTATTGCGGGGAGCCGAATCAGTGATGTCTTGTGCATCGTGTCTGGGTTCTTCCAAATGACTCTTTGGACAGAAAGCAGCTGCACCAGAAGCGGTCAGTTGTCCCGCAAGAGCCCAACCATAGCTAAAGGTCAGCAGAAGACCCCATCTCCCAGTGCTTCAAAGAGGTCAATAAATGTGAGACATCCAAATATGGACATATTGTTGAGGTGTTCCTGTTGTGCAGCCCCTGGCTGCTTGGCTCTGCAGACTGGTTGGGGGAGTTCACACAGCATCTTTGCCTGGTTGACCCATTTTTCAGATTCACGTAATACTCTGAGGCTCATCTGAGGGTTCCTGAAGGTATGAATGCCAAAAATAACAAAAAGGGTTCTTTGGATATGTGCAGAACAAAAGGAAAATCCAGGAAATGGATGCCCACTGATTGTGAAGATGGCAAGACGGTGATAGGCAAGAGAGAGGAGGCTGAACTGTTGAAGTCCAGTGTTCCACCTGTCTTTTCGCAAAGGAAAAGCGGTTCAACTTCCAGAAGCTGCTCTGTGGGGAGCAGGAGAGCAACGCAGATCAAAGCAGGTAAGGGACTAGGGAGAGAGCACTGGGTGGCTCTGAATGAATTCAGGACTCCTGGACCAGGTGGATCACTTCCCAGCGTGTTCGAGAAATGGCGGGTGTCATCTCAGAGCACTGGCGGAAACCTTTGAGAAATCCCCGAGCAGGTGCCGGAAGGCTGGAGAAGGGCCAATGCTGCTCCAATGTTTTAGGAAGGGGAAAAGTGGGCCTCGGAAACTATAGACCCATCAGCTTGAGATCAATACCTGGGAAAACCCTAGAAAAGATCATCAAAATGAACAGGATTTGTTTAAAAAGGTCATGCCAGACAAATCTTACTGCTTTTTTTGACAGTGTGACTAGATTAGTGGACCAAGGGAATGCTGTGGATGTGGTGTACTTAGACTTCAGTAAGGCAGTTGATAAAGTAGACCATAGTTCATGCTTGATGAACTAGAACAATGTAGGCTAAATAGTCCCACTACCAGATGGAATTGCAGTTGGCTGAACAACCACATTCAGACGGAAACTGGTGTTTTCCTTTCCCCTAATGCTGGGTCATGTTAAATCTTTGGTCTACCAAGATTAGACCAATTCCCAGATCTTTCTTATAGGTACTACTGCTAAGCCAGGTACCACCTATCTTGTAGCTGCACATATGGTCTTTCCTGCCTAAGTGCAGAAAGTTACATTTCTCATCACTGAACAGCATTTTGTTGGATATGTTCATCCACATCTTTTTGAACCTTGAGCCTGTATCCTGGGGCATTAGCAGTCCCCCCAAAAAAACTTAGTGTCATCTGCTAATTTTGTAAAGACCCCTTCTATTCCCTCATCTAAGTCATTTATGAAGATGTCGAAGAGTACTGGGCCCAGAACTGAAATACCCCACTGCATAGCTCCCTCCTTGTGGGCGTAGACCCATTAAGGCCATGCGTTGGCTATGGTTGTTCGGCCAACTGTGATTCCATCAGGTAGTGGGAGAGCTGGTTCCTCATGCTGGAAAGTCTTGCTCAGGAGGAGGGGCCAGAGCTCCACAAGCCAGGAGCAGCTTATCTGCCCACAGCGGAGGTGGGGAGGCTGAGGGAGAGCGTTGGCGCCACAGCAGGAGAAGGAGCCTCAGGCTGCTGCTGCCAGACTCATTGCCCTCCTCGGCTGGGCACCTGATCTTGGGAGGGGCTTCAAGTTCTTCCTGTGGGCGGCTGAGGCTCCAAGGAGCCTGTGTTTGTGGTCAGCCCCGTCCCCGAAGGCTCAAGGGACGGGGAGGATTCGCTTCAGCAGCTTCTTGCCATCTTTGGCAGGTCCAGGATCCTCCCTTGTAAGTGTTTCAGAAGCAGCAGGGAAAGTGGGAAAAGCGTTTGAGGAAGCCACACAGCCTTTGGACGTTGAAGTGGGAGAGGTGGAAAAGCCAGTCCCTGGCAGGGATTGATAGGATGGAAGAACAACAGACAGACAGTGGAGGCACATCTCAGCCACCGAGGGCCCCAAGCGGCTCCACAGCAAGCCAAGAATTCTGTGGCCAGCAGAGGTCTCTTCTCTTCTGCATGCCCGTCTTTCTCCACAGCCCAGAAGCAACACGAAGCACCCAGAGTGAAACACTTGCCATGATGGATGCTGTCAACGGAACAGCAAACTTGGGCCAGGTCTCCTTTATAATGGCGGGCATTCCTGGCCTGGAAGCTTTCTACTTCTGGATCGGCATCCCACTCTGCCTCATCTACATTGTGACTTTGCTGGGGAACCTCATCATTGTCTTCGTCATCAAGACGGAGCCTGATCTCCACAAGCCCATGTACCTTTTCCTCTGCATGCTGGCCATCAACGACCTGCTGCTGAGCACTACTGTTCTGCCCAAGATGTTGGGCATCCTGTGGATGGGCTCCAGGGAGATTGGCTTTAGCACCTGCCTCCTGCAGATGTACTTCGTGCATACTCTCTCCATTGTGGACTCTGCCATCCTGTTGGTCATGGCCTTGGATCGCTATGTGGCCATCTGCCACCCACTGCACTACGCAACCATCCTCAGCAACCCAGTGGTTACCAAGATGGGATTGGCAGCTGCTGCTCGTGGGATGATATTGGTCATCCCCTGCCCCATACTTGTCAAGAGGTTGCCCTACTGTTTCCAAAATGTCATCCAACATGCCTACTGTGAACACATGGCCGTGGTCAAGCTGGCCTGCGCCAACACGTTTATCAACCGGACTTATGGCATTTGTGTGGCACTCTTGGTGGTGGTGCTGGACCTAGGGCTCATTGGCACTTCTTACACTATGATCCTCCACGCAGTCTTCCAGCTGTCATCACGAGATGCACGTGCCAAAGCCCTGGGCACATGTGCTGCCCACACCTGCATTATCTTGGCATTTTACGTGCCTGCTCTTTTCACCTTCCTAACCCACCGAATTGGCAGAAATGTGCCTCCCTGCATCCACATCCTACTGGCCAGCCTGTACCTCCTGCTGCCTCCCATGCTGAATCCGCTGGTGTATGGGATGAAGACCCACCAGATCCGCCAGCGAGTGCTTGGCCTTTTGCACCTGGGACGAAAGGGGCTTCTGCAGCCCAGGATCTCCGGCAACAAGAGAAAGCGTGGAAACAGTACCTGATGGCAGACACTGGGTGGGCCACCACCGGAGCTGTGCGTTGGGTTTCCCACAGTACGTTCTTTTTCTCTTTGGAAATCAATGATTTATCAATAAGAAAGTAGCAGAGCAAGAACTAAGAATCTTTTGGTTGCTCTGCTGGCATATATATATGTTTGTGTCTGTGTGTGTGTGTATTTTTATATATTTTTTATCCGCACTCAATCGTTACCGATTCTGCGGCGACTGCCTGGACGAGTCCCTGCAGTTTTCAAGGAAAGGTGTTTCGGAAGTGGTTTGCCATTGTCTCCATATATATATATATATATATATATA